CGACTCCAAAGAGTACCCGAGAGTATCAAGATGACCCACTTATTTGAGTAGCTGCGATAGAAGAGGCTGAAACACTCCAATGTCTAACATGAGCAACTTTTTTTCTAATCTTTCAACCGTGCTCGCTGGTTCTAATAGAAAATACTTTATGTTGACATGAAAAATAAATAATTGAATTGCTCTACTTCTTTTCCCNGGTGGTGGGGGGGGGGGGGGGGGGAGTTGAGCAGAAGCCTAAAAGTTTCAAGAAATGTTAAGTACATAACGTATTTCAAAAGGTCCGTCTCTCTACCCTCCCCTAGTCCTGTACACTTATGAATTCCCATATTTAACTTCAGCATTTATAATTTTCCGAGTCTTACATTTCAATCAAAACATCATAAATCCACGATTTCTAGTATCTGTTTATAAATTGCACATTGAACAGAGGAAAAACTAGGAAGAAACACTTACGCTAAGTCAGGAAGGCAAGTATTTCATTGCATTAGTAGGGTACAGGGAACGGGGGTACCATCTGGTGGGGACTCTCGGTACTGCATCTAAGGGAGTGCCAGCTACATGCTCCACCCTGAGCTCAGAGAGAGCTAGTGGTCCTCCACCTACACTAGGCAGCGGGCCAGCAACTGCAAGTCCCACTTGCTGGCATGTTTCCGTCCCCGACGGAAATCCGACGGGCCGTTTATGACCCTTTTGTGCTACTTTGGAATGTTCTCGTGTTCTCCGTCACGGAGAATGCAATGCGACCAGACCCGAGACGATCGGTCATACCGACGACAAGCAGAGAAGATGCGTTATTAAGGAACGATTAACAAATGCGTACGATTTATCGTACAACAAATGGGGGAATTACATGGTGACTCACGGTCGAGGATCGTGACTCACGGGCGATTCGTTGGTGTGAGAGCTACTCCAAACACGACTCGACCGAAAACCGGACGACTGCCGAACTGCGACGGCCTACCGTCGGCTGTCGTACGGACTCGACTGACCACTGCCCACGACGGACTCGTCGATACCCGACAGAGTACTTCGGACGACCGACCGAAGATACACGTCGCCGGCTAACGACTCGCGACTCCGACTGCCGGCTGAAGACTGGGGTCGGGACGAGAGAGTGGAATGGGAAAGCGGGGGAACTGGGGGACACTTCCACATTGACGAGTTGGACCGGATTGTTACGGTTTCGCGCGTTTTTCGAGCTACTGGTGGTGGGAATCACAACACGATCGGTCCTGGTTGATACAAGTCGACGTTTATTTGAAAATGGACAGCGAAATGCAAACAATAACGAGATTTGAGACGAGCCAGTGAGACATCCAGGGCTGCCGCCGCCCTCCCGTGGGTGGCAGAAAACTAACGGTATTACCATCATGGGCGGCTCGTGTATTCTTATCCACTACTGCTGAATATCACGAGCTGCCACTGATAACCATGAGGAATGGGATCGGCTAAATGCGTGAGCGTCGGTCGCTACGCAGAATGAGAACCGAGGTAAATTCCCGGTACCAAGGTACCGTAATCGCTCGCTGATACGGAAGGGAAACGGTCGGTGAAATGTGGAAAAAGCTGGAAAGACGAACGAGTGCAATTAATTTTTACGTATGCAAAAGGAAGCAGTACGTACCGATCAGTTGCTGATGAATTTAATTTGTTGCACACAGACAAAAATGTTGGATTTTCAGCTGTATGAAAAGCTATCGTGCGCTTCAAAGAGTAAGTGTGCACGACCGACCTTAATGGACGTCCTACGGTCGTTTTAAAAGAGAATTGAAACATGCATTCATATTAATGGAGAGCAGTTTGAAAATTTGTTAAAATAAATGCTAACCCTACGTGTCCTGACTTTTGCACCACCCTGTACGTAGGGCAGCCCTGCGACCAGGTCAATCACCTCGTGCTGTGCCGGCTGGGACGTTGCAATACGCAGCAGGGCACGAGGACTCCGCATTTCCAATGCTTCGTCACGTAATTATGGTTACCTCATTGGATACTACTAGTATTGCGAATGCTGCTGAAAATCGGTGCAAAATTTGTTCTCGAGCTTCTGGCTGTTTTGATGACAGTGTCTAGTGACTAGTTCATTATAAATGGGACTCTGATGGACTGAATGAAATCACTACAGGCTTGCTTCAAACCTGGAATTTCATGGATGGAAATTTAAAAGAAAAGCAAGATATTTTTGGGTTAAGACATAGATCAACCACAAAACACTGAAGGCAAACCCGCATGAAATGCAGTATCAGGGAGCAAGGGGTGGTTGAACAAGCATAGAATAGATAAAGAAATGTGAAAAGTGGCGAATTCCTCGAGTGGGGAATTTCTCGGAGAGAAGTCTGCCACTGGAGTGAGAAATTATTTTTGTGAGAGTAACAATTACCGTTTGTGTAAGAAATATATCTCTTTCTCATATTTTGAGCTTTGAATTCATATTTAACTTGAAACTTGAAATATAATGCAATAAAAATGATGTAAAATTCCCGAGGTGCGCTTCACTGCGACAGGGTGTCCCATAAGTCACTGTACCATTTCAAAAAATCCCTAATCTACTAAACAGTCGATGCAAAAAAGAAGTAACATTAACTGAACAAAAACATTTCACTTGGAATTACCTTTGTCAAAAATGGAGACAATTCTGAGTTTTGAAAGTGCCTCAAAATGCCTACATCAATACATTCGGCACAAGGCTTGGTACAAAAAATTTTTCCCAAAACTCCCTTAGGAAACTTTTTTTTTGAAGCCTTCTTTCATAACAGCAAAAGCAAATTAAACGAAACTATATTTTTTCGGTTTCTCGAGTCAATCTGAAATTAGGAGAAAAACAGAGTTTAGCAATTTTGTAGATGAGGATTCAACAAGGTGTTCCATGAATCGCTGTAAATAGCACCAGTACACTTTTCTCGTGTGCATTCAAAGCAGTTTCCATTTGAGTCTTATGCTAAGTCATCACTGTGAATAAAATTATTTATAAAGAACATTCTTTCCATAAATGCTAATAAAAGTGACCTGCTTGTTGCAGTTTGAAATGGCATAGTGACTTATGGGACACCCTGTATGTCATACCCATTTTTTGTTTCTTCGAAAATGAAGGAGGGGGGGATCATATCAGTTGTGTGGTCATGTGTAAGAGAAAAATAACAAATGGTGATTGGCAAGCCATGGTATATTGAACATTGCTTCATGGAATTGCAATCATGAATATGGCACTGCATAACTACAAGAAAGCCTTTCTTTTTTCATCTCTATTTCTCTCTTGGTAAACATGACGATATCACAGGACGAGTGCCTCTCAGGCGTGTCGTATTTCTAGAGGACGAAAGCTTGTGCACACTCAATGCCATCGTGGTATAATCACTGTATCACAAATAACTAGTAAATGACACAGGTACATCTTGGGCTGCAAATCAGAACATATGGATGTGAAAAGCCTTTACAATCCTTCCATATTTACCTCAAGAAATGTTGCAATCTCAGAGACTTTCCTCAGCATCACTGGATAGGACAGAAATACCTAAATGTACTGCATGGACACTTCAAAATATCACTGGCACACATCACAATCTGGCATTGAATACAGAATGCAAAAATATTGCTTCCAAGTAAGAGTGCAAGTATGGGAGACACTTCAGGCCCACTTTCATGAAGCAAGAACGCATCTTAGAGTCACAGAGACAAGTCAGAAAAAAAATCATGCATGAAACATAACTGATAACAAGCTGTCAGAAGTCAGAATGATATACCTGACTTCTGAAAAGTACCTGGCTCTTTGGCCATTTCCCACAAATTTATGCTATAGTGCATTGTGATGACAGGCTTTAGTCATGTGTGTTGCAAACATGAACTAAAATGAGGTGAAGCACTGCAGAGCCAAAGCAATAACCAGGCCAACAACATAAGCGTTTTCTTTCCTGCTTACATAACAAACCAAATAAATCAGCCAATGCTGTAAAATTTGCATTATTATTATTTTTAATTTATTAACAACACAATAGACATAGGTCATGGAAGATAGAATTATCACTGTTTTGTGCATGTGGATTCAACATGCTTTTTGATTCTCCCACTACTAACTTTCTGTTCTTGTCAACTGCTGATCTTTTCTGCACTTATAAGGATTACCTATGACAGCATTTAACTTGAGTAATGTAAAATCCTTGCACAATGAAAAAGACCAAAGCAATGAGTAAAAAATTTGCGACCTGCTAGCCAAACCAAGGGGAAGATCCTACCATGCCACAAATATCACCATGGAAAGGTCATAATACAGCATGACATTGTAGTAATCAGGGGCAGAATCGCTAACAGCAAATCAAGCAAGCAGAAGGTTTTACATTCTGAAGAACCCTGCAACATAGGAGGAATCATACATACCTGTTTGCCTGAGGACACATGACTATGGCTGTGTTGGAGGTGAACTTTTTGTGAAAATCTTGAGGGCATAGAGGGAATACAGTGATGTAGAAGTTGACAGTCATGCCTTTGAATTTATACAATAAGATAAAACATTTTATTTTTTCAAAAATGGTTGCAATACCCATTCCCAGGGACAAGATATTCTGTGGCAAAAAAGATCAAATTCTCAGTTTATTACTTTGCTCTATCTCCAAAGCCTATGGCTGCAGATAAAATTGGGGAAGCTTCAAGATATTATAAATTTTGTACTTTATAAAGCACTACAACAGAGGAGAGACTCTTGAAGATGATATCATCCTAAAACCTGGTTCAATGAATCATCACACATGACTCCCTTCAAAATTTGCTTCAATCACAGAATTTTTCAGCAGAAGACACATGGCAGGACCTTACTGTCCAAGTAAGAGGAAGAACTTTTTATGATCTTCTAAGATAAGTTCATATATAGTCTCTCCAGAACTCACAAGTAAGAATAATTCAATGCAGAGTGATTCAATCCTTATTTCCTGCAGGTTCATCTGCAACATGCCTTTGTAGACTGAGACACTGCCATTGATCACAATGGGACAGAGGAAGATGAGGAAGAGCATTCAGGGCTGATTCCCATGACAGCTTGCCTGAAGGGAAGTGGATTCAAACTGACGCAAGTGGACCTAGAGGATGCAAAACAAGAGTTGTAGATGAGATCAACATGAATAGAACTGTCATGGCTGGCACTTCCAGCCCTGAAAAACTCATAGTTTCTGGAAAATTCCTTTCTGAAGGAAAAATGAGTCCTCAAAATGATAGAGCCAGGAAGAAAGAAATTACTTACAGTCCATCTGCATAGCCTATAAAACATGTGAATAATACAAATAAGGAAGAGATAATGCTACAATGCTGTGATCAAAGCAGGCATATGTGGATCATTCACATTTGTCTCAGCAAGCACTTATACAGGGTATTCGTATTAAAACACAACAAAGGGAAAATTTTGTTACCAGTTTGTGGAGTTCAGCACGAGCCTTATAGCTCACTGGGCTGCATATCTGCAAGGATAAAAGCAATCACAGGTGTGTTTCCTTACAGGTATGCAACTCAGTGAACCTTGTAGCATTAGCTGAACTCCACATAAAGGTGGCAATAGGTTGTGTTTAAATAAGAACACCCTGTATGTGGATGCAAATCAGTGCTTGAGAAACATACTAAAAGTTTCATCTTTCTATGGTGCCCAATAAGCAAGATGAGATCCCTGCAAAAAATTTTGTAAACCAACAAGCAATTAGGAGAGAAAGTTACAATATTCAGTTTTGTTTCTAAAACATTAGATTGTGTAAATATTTATCCATTTCTTCTACCCATGCCAGAATGGCCTTAGGATCCTGGAGGAGTCATGTTACCCTTTCAGAAGTTTCTTCAACTGACATGGAAATATTGAAGGAACAAAACTACCCTGAAAGGAACTCCTCTAGTATGATCATGAAATATAGAATTTCAGCACTGGATAAGAGCTACTCATCCTCAATGTAAATTTCCTTGAAGCCACATACAGACAACTTTAATACTTTTACTTGAAACAAGTTGAGTTCAGAAACTTTCAGTGCACCCAGCAGAATTAATGTCTATTTTAGTCCGCACTTTACTTAAAAGTACATCACCACTACAATTGGTGAAATGGTTGAACCATAGAGGCAGATACCTAAGGCAAAAATATTTTTAAAATAAGATTCCTACTATCTTGTGAGCCACATAGAGTCTCGTGATTTTCTTTTATGATGATTCCCACCTTGATGTGGAGGTTGACTTCCTCGCTACGACTAAGATAGGGGAAGTTCCCACCAGACTTGAGATGGGCCTCTTTTGCATGTGGGTAGCACTTGTTGACTTCCTCCATGACGGACAATGTCAGAGCAGACCTGTCATAGACATCAATGACAGTGATGGGTAGATTTTGCAGGTGCTGCACTTGGACATTATTTGGACTGCAGTTGAGAGTCAGCCGGGAGGCAAGTTCCTGCTGTGACAGGTTCTCCAGCTGCCATGAACATATTTGGGCCTTTGAAACACAATTTCTTCCTCACATGAGTCTTCATGAGACAATTATGATTTTATCCTGACCTTTTCAACAACAAAATCAATGGAGTCAGAGATATCCTTGTCCTGGATAGAAGTGGGGAAGTTCCCTAAAAGCAGCCTCTTCAGCAAGAGATTTGGCATGATTCTGAACCTACCATCACAAGGAGGAATTAGCAGTGAACTTCTACAGAGCAAAAACCCAATGAAATATGAACATACAGAAAGGAGATATCTCGATACCGGAAGACGCATGTGTCTATAAATGCATTGCAAAGGATGAGGGAGGCAATCCTTCGGGACTGTCGAACATATTCGGCATACTTTTGAGCCAAGAATCCCCCTAGGGAGGCTCCAAAGATATGAACACGATCCACATCCAAATGATCAAGGAGTTTGTTGAATCCCAAACACCATGCATTTATACTCCAATAAGGTGGCCAAGCTGCCTGAAAACATTATAAAAGGATGCTAATTATCAAACATGGGGTAAGACTCAAACATGAGCAAGGAAGAGGTCTTACTGCTATGACACGAAAGCCATGGGCAGAGAGGGGGAGCATTTGCTTGAAGAAGACATCGGGATTGCCAGAAACAGGAGGAAGGCAAACCAAGGGGCAACGCACCTCCTTGGGGCCACAGTCATACACTTGCCAGGGATTTGTCCCATCTGTATCCACCACAATGCGCTTCAGTGGTATGGAGGCACGGAAGCTCTGGTATTCTATGCTCCTGGCCAATTCGGAGCCCATCTGAAGGTTAAAGCATTCACTTATCCAGTGTCACCAAGACTCTTCCAAACATTTAGAGCATATGAGAAAAAGGGGAATTGAGCTGATATCCCTCTGTAGAGGAGCAGTAGGTCATGAAGGTAGACACTAAAGGTTCTTTCCACCAACCATTAACTCAAAAAGACAAGATTTTCAAGTCCAACTTCTCATTAAGTCCTCAAGTAAGGAATACAAGATTCCACATTCCCTACCATAAGAATGCTTCAATGGATACTTGGAAATATTACAGAATAGATCACTGCTGGACATAAACACAATGTACAATACATATGCAAAAGTACCTCAAAATAAAAAGATCAAAACTAAATTGTCAAGCTTTCAGCCAGACTTTACTCTTGGTATTTTACAGTAAGAAATATTGTTTTTTTTTTCATGTGTTACCTTCAGCATCAAGATTCCATATACTATTGGGGAAAGTTCCATCAGAGTTTATAGTTTGCAATCAGTCTTCGTAATTCCAGTTTTGATCATTTGCTGCACAATTTTGAACCAGAACACAGGACTGATCCATCACTGACATTACCATCAATGTCTGGTTCTATTGAAATAGCATCGCACAAGGGAAATTCTTCATACATTCATATGAGATCTTTCTTTTTATTCCATTCTGATGATTTTGGGCAATATATATATACTTCACTTTTTCTTCTTCTTTTCTGGCCCAGGGTTTTGATGTGTGGCAGGGATGTTGTAGGTGTCTTGGGATATTCTGTTCATATAATGCAGTCCCATCAAGGAGAAGAGCAGGCTGAAAGAAAACAAAAGCTTGAAGCACTGCCAATTAATAACAAGCCACCAACTAAAATATTCATGACAGCCATGTCAACATAGTGGATGATAAACCTTGTGAGGCCTCCTCACAGAGTGCTATCATGTATGTCTGCATGATTTCATAAGGGAGATCATTACTGATTGGATTTAATTTTAATTTTAATTTCATGTTTTTGTTGGGCCACCCTCATGCATTGTCTATATGTCCATGCCTCACATTCACTGTGTCCTAAGGTTAAATAATGGCATGATTTATGGTGAAAAGAAAAGCATGCAGATCTTTTGGATCTCATGGAATAGTTGATAGATGATATTCTCACCATGTTGTGCCACAAACTCGATGTACCAAGGCAGACACCACTACAGAAACTCCAAGGCACCCCATCACTGTTCACAAAGGCAACAAACCATATTCATTCATCACACACAATAAATAATGTTTGTTTTAAAAAAAATATTGCTTCCAAAATATCATCATAAGTGTGATGATATTTACAAAGTAGCTGGATAATAAGTAGAAACTCAAATAGGTGCATGAAAAGAGAATTGAGAATACTGAACTTTTTCCAAAGGTGAAAATCTCATCAGACTCTACATGAAGGGTATTCAGAAACCTGCTATTGCAAGTGGTCATCAAGATGGGTGAGAGGAAGGTACACAGCTCCTATTTCTACAGTTCCACCTAGCAATCTTACATTTCCATTAAGGAAGGTATAAGGTATTAAATTAAGGTATAAGCATGGATAACTTTTTAAAATAAGACCATAAGTGATGTCAAGCATTAGATGCTGAATCAAAGCTAGTAATTCACTCAAAAAAGTACATGTTCCATGCATACCTATTTGACAAATGTTCTTCCTTCCATGACAATAACAACACACATACAATTTTTAATACGATAATCCTTGGAATGTGTTATTAATGTAATTAGTTAAAAATTCAATATAAGTGTTCTTAGCTTTACTTGGACATGATCTAATATTTGTAGCCTGTTGTAACTGCTACTTTGAATAAGTAGCAATAAGCACACATAATGAATGTGTGCTAATCTCAGATAATTGTCAGTGAATAAACAAGGATTTACTCTGCCTCTAATTTTGAATTACATCCAAAAAATGTGAACATTCTTCTGCTGGCAGTAACTTACCTTCAGGAAACAGCTTTGTGTGGAATCTGTCACCAAACATAGCCATTTGCAGGTTTCCAAGGCTCTAGAACGAATCAGAATGCATATTTAACCATCTGAATTCAAACTATGATTCACATGGAAGATGTAGAGCAGCAGTGTTATAACAGCAGCTTGTGAGTTGCTAGTGTTCTTTGAGCTGAGGCTTGGCAATGGCAGTCCTGGATACTGACCAGGCCAACTTCCACATGTGATGCTATTATTCCACCGACAACAACCATCTGATGTCTCAGCAACTTACGGACCCAGGGATGCATTGATTCTGTCCTGCATCATCATCAACTGCATCACATGATTGCACATATGCAACCTTATGTGTCATAATATGTTCTTTCAGACAGATGATGTGTTACAAGTGTGACACCTACTCTGTGCCTAGGAGTAAGGATGTCACATTAATAATGTTCAACTGAGTTTTGAAACAGAATTTAATGTCATTCAATCACACAGAATAATGTAAATGCCTATTTTTAGAGGAAGAAGCTTTCAAAGTAATCTCAAAGTGATACCTATACTTTTGCAGTTTGTATCTTTTCAATTACATCTATTTAATTAATTTTCATGCATATTTCACTTTCAACCATGAAATTGACATGCTTATGGAATGACCCATAATCCCAGAGCTGTCACAAAATGGGACTGAAATCACAAGCTTCAAATTTTCATGGAGATATAAAGACAAAAAGAGGCCTTGGGTGAAATATGGAAAAACCTGTAAATCTAAGTCTCTCTACTTTGGATACTGGCTATGCTTAGACCCAATGCTTGAATAAATTCATCTTAACCCAGGGCATTACAAACAAAAGTTACAGCAACAAGTAGACAGCTGCTGAACCATGACATATAAGCAAGCACTCCAAAATAAGGTAATAAAAATAGTAAGAATGTTCTGCCATGTGAATATCCCATCAGTTTACCGTGAGAATGAGGATGAAGAAAATTGAGCCAACATATCCTCCTAAGATGGTCCCAAGTTGAGTAGCAGCAAGAATCCCCTTGAAGGTCATCATGCCTGAGAAGACAAGAAGGGCCAGCACTGCTGACACCATCGTGGACACAGTTTCTGAGAGTGCTAAAGGAAAGAGAAAAAAGAAAGTAGTGTTTCATCTGCATTGCAAATCAAATTTCAACTTTTCTGCTGTCATTTTATCAAGGCATACATTAACCCCTTAATGCATGATGAAGAAGATATGCTACATACCAAATAAAAATTTTTAATGCACAGGTAGCAACCTCCTGAGGTGGGTCAGTTCGTAGCAGATGTGCAATAGTCCAGTCCATTTGCAACCATGCCTTCGCTAGATGCCATACATTTCAGGTAGCAAGTAAATTTGAAATACTTCATCTTAAATACTTAGCTTAGATAGATGTTTTTGCTGCAATTATCTTCAACTTTATGCTAATCCAGCATCATCCATATTTTTACTTTTTTTTGTGTTGTGGTATGTACAAAGGTTGATGGACCAACTGAGCTCTCCAACATCCATGTAGCATGGGTTAGAAAGTAGAAAATGATGTTTGTAACAAATGGGCAACAATAACATTTTCAGGCCAACTGCTTACAAATTTGAGGGAACAATTTTTTTTCTGCTTTTCCTGTGTTCTAGGACAAAAGTAAAAACCAATCAGATTTTCTTTTGGCAAAAAACAAAAAAGCTTGCATTAAAGGGTTAAACATGTACATTACATTGAATAGTAAACCATTTTCATTAGGCTGTAGATATCTTAAAACAATGGTCATCAACTTGGTAGCCTGGAAATGCATACTTATTCTCAATAATAAGATTTCAAGCAATTAATAAATAAGTATCAGTAAGGCACCAAGGCTCAGTGGCATCTACTCAGTGGCAAGAGACACTTGTTTGAAAACAAAAAATTCAATGGATGGGGCAGTGAAACACATGCAGTCAACAACAGCAATGTATTCCTAGCCTTCAGTGGGTCAATAGGGTGCAAAGGGTATGGGCATGATTCCACTCTTCATCTCATACTCCATGAGATAGAGGGTATTTCTCTGCAAGCTAAAAAAGAACATTTGGGATAGTATTGTGCAATGTGTGGCATCATGGATTTCCACAACTTTCATCATGCTCCTCCCAACTACCCACCTGCCCTTCCTCTACCTCTCCCTGTCTTGGGTTTGGAAATTAGGAATAAGAAATTCTGATTTCAGTTTTAGATTCCAAGGCCAAGCTTTGATTCATGGCAAACTTTGACAAACCTGATTTTCCAAAAATAATCCCTCCACCTCTGATCATATCAAATAAGATGTAAAGAAATCAACATGCACCTGATCTTTACTTCAAAATATCTGGTCCACAGGGTTCCAGCATTCTGAATTAACAAAGGATATTATGTTGCTGTATTGGCAATTGGGTACTTCTCTTGCAAAGCACCCAAAGCCTTTTGAAGTGAATAAAATATTAAAGCAATGTGTTATGAGCAACAGAAGAGAGATAAATGGACTTGGGAGGGCAAAGTTTATGAAAAGACATGCTCAGAGTTCCATTTGTCATCATCATTCCTAATTCCCACCAAGTTTATGTATATTTTTGCTCGGTTCTCACGCTCGCGACTCACATGCATCAATATACGGCCCGGGCCTAATCAAACCTCCGCATTGCCTTTAACGTTCAGTAATCAGGGGTGGAAGGGTCCACTAGGTTTCGTGACTTATGCTTAGGCCTACTGTTAATGCAGTTTCATGCCTTATTATTAGGCCTAGACTGTCTTAACAGAAACTCACCCATCCCAGCCGATATTAATAATTGGTCTTAATTGGACTTGCTCCAATCAATCTTCCTCGGTCAGATTATCAAGTTCAGCTCTAGGTCTGAGATTCTCGACCTACTTATCAGCTTTGTCCACACCTACAACTTACACCAGGAAATACGTTTTAAAACGCCGGACAACCGGTCCCTTCCCCGTGTCTTCTATGAGGATGTGGCGGTCGACATGACACTCGATTGCGATTGGCTGTCAGCCGGTGCCGTAGCAGACGACGCGCCGTGCGTCAGAAGGTAAAGCTTTTTTTTTTTTTCTTCCACTTGCAGTGGATAGCAGCTGATATGAAGACTCCTCACAGACTCGGTGGGGGTGATTTTGGGCACTTTTGGGAGCGAGTACTGAGACCGCTTACTTCGCTTCCATAAGTGTAAGGGGAAAACTGGGAAATGACGTTCGGTGAATCCCGTATCTCACTGTTAACTGAGGCAGACTTATTCATGCGTCCTGTCGACAACGCCAAGTCAGCAAATATTGTAGATTAAAGAAAAAGTTATGGTTTGCCATTCATGAAATTCCCTTGGATCTGCATTACTAATGCCAACGTCATCTGTGCATCTTTACTCAGGGTTTACTTTTTTTCATGCGGCAGATGCAAGCAGTGTGACATTTCAGTAATGGTGCGATTCCCTTCAACTTGATTCAATCTTTGATCATTTCTGGGCATCGATCAATATCGAATTCTGGACCGGATTAAAGAAGGGACAATGAAAGCGGTTATAATACTAAGCGACGCAAATCCACGTTTCGGAAACCCGGACCATTTCCCATAAACCAGAGGAAATCCAGATTTCACCAGCTCGTGAAATTCGGTAATCGTGGTGAAGGCCCCCCCCCCCCCAAATATATCGAATATCATTTCATTCTCGCATGATTCTCGGAGAAACCTCTAGTGGCTGGAGGTGATCTTTGGAGGTGATCTCTGGAGGTGATCTTTGGAGGTCCTATGTGGGAAGTGCGAGACGATGTCGTTGCGTCGAGTGCGATGAGCCGAGTGCATCATCAAATCACGGATATCACAAAATAGCAACAACAAAAAAAGAGGAGGTAAATGATACGTCCACCGAAATGGCACTCTTCATTAATTCGCCTCCTAAAGAGAGAAGACGAGATTCAAGGGCGAGGAATGGGAAAAGCAAGTGGAAGGAGTCCATTCAAAAAATGCAAGCGTCCAATCCCGTCTTCAAAAAAATCTTTAATTCGTTCGAGAATCGCCAGGCTCACGAAATCGCCCCCCCCCCCCCCCCTCCCCACGGGCTCACGCGTAGAAGTACGTCGCCCCCTCCACCCCGTCGTTCACCGTGCACTGATAAAACGAGGACGGCGGCACGAGGTTCTCGAACGTCTCCGTCACGTACGCCCCAGGCATGACGAACGCGGACCCGTTCGCGAACGTCACGACCGGAATGTTCTGGTAGAGGTAAGGCCCTCCGATGGGCAAATTATTCCGGATTATTCCACCTGCGCTGAAGAAGATCTCGTCTTCCCCACCTGGCGGACGACAAATTAGATCACAAAAATTATTTGAAATCCTCCTTTACTCGTTCTGAGGTATTGGTAGTATCGAAAGGGTTCTGGAGCGTTTCCTTCCTTATTTTCTTTGATATTTTTGTCATTTATTTGATATTTGATATTTTCTTTGACATCATTTTGTTTTTCTCGACGTAACGTATCGAGTCGAAAAAGAAACGACAGTTTCAAAAATTCGTCATTTGAATGATTTGTTCAAAAAGCTCTCTCGTTTCTTTGCCGGCCCTCCTTCGTGACGACAAACGAACAAACAAACAACGGGGGAAACCTTTCGGCGTGATGACGTAGGGATTGTGAACGGGCATCCCCCCGTTCACGTTCAGGGCGGGCTCGATGCCCGGGCATTCCAGGAAGTTGGAGGCGACGGTCACGCGACCGCCAAAGTGGATGGCATCGTACAGTTCCTGGAAGCTCTTCAGTTGCGTCCTGGGAGAGAGAACGGAACGTTTCGGGGGCGAGAGATCGTACCGGTCCTCTTAGAATTCGGTTTAAGGGCTCCTTCGTCTCCCCTATATGAGGCGATTCATTTTTGGGTGGTTTTCGAAATGCAAGAACAAACGTTCGCAAGGCGATAGGTACAAGATGCAAGAAAGATTTGGCTCTTGTAATAAAAGGTATAGTTTCGAAGATTGCGTCGTTGAGCTTCCAGTAAGCTAACTTCCTAGAGCTAACCGGTAGTGGCGTAACCAAAGGAGGGGCTAGTGACTTCTCCTTGGATCTTGGATGGGTGGTGGCGGACGCATTTCGAACGAAGTAGGGGGGGCTTCAGCCACCCCCCCCTCTTCCTTGCTAAGGCACTGCCAACCGGATTTCTTTAGTCGCACGAAAAGTCCGAGCCCAATAAATGCAATAAATCGCTAAAAGGAGGCAGTTTAATCCTCTTGCACCGAACACGCATGCCTCTGCTGCTGGGGAAATGGAGGAACTGTCTCCGGACGGAGCTCCGTCGCGAGAAATTACCTGTCAAGGTGAGCGGCGAAAAACTTGACGCCGTCTCGAATGGAGCAGTTGAACTCTTCGGCAACGACGACTCCATCGGGCATGACCCTCCTATGATAAATGACTTTCATCCACCCGTCCACGTAGGCCTCCACCTCCTCGAAGTTCAACATCCCCTCCTCTGGACGAATAAACGAACTCCATCAGACCGCATTCGAGAGCCCTCCCAGTCATCCTAGCCATCTCGACCATCCTGCCTGACTTTCCCCAGTCGAGCGAGTGGAGGGCCCTGCGGGAAGTCGCGGGGGCATACCTGTGTAGTGGCGGTGGGCGAAGCCGAGGAACGGGGCCCCGAAGTAGGAATCGTTGTGGAATCCCCAGAGCGGCACCGGGTGGTGGACCACCTGAAAAACAGCGGAATTCAATTACATTGGGATTCCTCGAAAGACGAGGCATCCATCCATTGCTTTCCTTATTATTATTATTTTTTCCCGTGGAGCCATTTTTTCCAAGAAGGCAAGTCTTTCATGAAGCAAACCGTCCTCGCCCCATACACTTCTATTTAGTGCTCCGAGTGAATTCGTACGACGGAGGAGTGAACAAAATCGCGGAATCGATTCAGAAAAGTATTCGTAGCACCTTCAACGTCATGCACGCTGTTTCCGCGCAAGGAGGCGAGGGGAATCGAAGAAGCGATTCCGGGCTAGTGAAGTCCTAAGCAGAGCTTGGGATTTCATAAATCCCAAGCACTCTAAGAATCCTTCCCCCTGGCCCCACGGCGCGCTCAAATCCCTTGGAATATTTTATTTCTGGAATTCGCAAATAAATGTGAATTATTCGGACTCACGATCGGCATCGGGTCCCATCCCCCAAGACTCTGGCACGACCGAAGGTCGACCTGCACTTCAAGTTCGACCCCGGCCCTCAGGGCGGCTACCGTTTCTTCGAGCGTCGGGATCTCCTCCGTCGCTGTCTCTGAAATGCGGAAAATTCAATCGGCAAAATTCAATCGGCAAATTCAATCGGCAAATTCAATCGGCAAATTCAATCGGCAAATTCAATCGGCAAAATTCAATCGGCACTCTTGGAGCCAATTTGCTCGAATCGTGCCTCCTACCATCGACAAGGAAGACGACTCCTTCATTGAGGACGCAATCGTAACCATCCGGATTGAAGTACTCGTTGTCGAATTCCACCAGGTCCCACATGGCCGGGAGCACCTACATCCAACGTAGCGCTCATAACATTCAACTAATAGGTCGATCTATCCTTAAAAGCGACGCGTATTACACATTAGAGACAAATTATCTATAAAAATTCTGACTTCTTAATGACCGACTGCGTATAGCAAACTCGAGTCACGAGCCCCTTATTGCATTTCTATTAGAGTTTTCAAATTTTTAAAACCTATATTTCTATACTATATTAACGGATGTTCAAGTTTGCCGCATTAGCAGTGAGTTATTTTGCGTTTGAAGCCGCGACACTCTCGCACGCTTTGAGGAACGTTGATGCAGGTCTGTCAGAATTCCGAGCGATTGCATGAGGCACCTCAGCTCGTAGAAGCGCATCGTCCGAATCAAGATCATTATTATTGAGTTCATTATTAATTGGTTTTAATTACTAATTGTGTTTGGCTCGGCCTCCGCAAGGTACGAGAGCTTCATCGAATGGAGATGCAGTCCGACAATTAGTAGCTTAACACGGAACGGCTAGATGAGACAGACGAGAGCGAGAGTCTCGTTTGGCGGAACAAGTGAAAGAAGCGAGGAATCGACCTTGATGGAATTGTCGGGAAAGATGTTCATGTGGTTGCTGTTCACGACGTAATTCCCTCCAGTCCCCGGATTCCTCACGACCGCGCTGTCCACGACCTTGATGAACTCGTCCGGGGTCCCTAAAGGTCGGAAGAACGCGTTGAGCGCATTCACATCCCCCCGCCCACTAGGGATGACGGAGGTGATGCCTCGCCTTCGTCGACGACGTAGAAGTCGCGGGTGGGAGAGCCGGCCGTGGAGCGGAAGGGAGGAGGTTCCTGGCAGAGATCGTAGAATGCCACCCGCGTCACGCGTTCCCCGTTCAGCAGGGCCATCTTCAGCTCCTCGTACGTCTCCAGCGTCGAGCTGCTCGCGGCAATCGAGGCCGGTCCGCGAAATGCGTCAAAGCGTGCTTTCGTGCGTACAAATTTCTCGGAACGTTTTATCACGCCTCTAATGAGAACGCGGCGCTACGATCGAATGGACAAGCGACATCTAAAGGAAATTATTTTAAGTTGTCAGTGATGGGAAGAAGTACTTCTATTAACTTCACGAAAGCAATCTTCCTCAAAGTTCTTCTTGGATATCCTCTACCTCTTTTACTTGAGAATATTTCTTCCACTTAGTAGCGTGTCGATTGCGACATTGACGAACAGGCGTTAAACTTTGTTTGGAGCGTTAAAGCATAAGTGCGTGATCCTCGTTTTCAGCTCTCTTTAAAATAAAAACAGGGTTTTAAATTAAATTTAAAGATTTTTCGCGTACATTCATGCGCTAAAATTTTTCAGCAATTGTTCACCGTTTAAAAGTTTTGCAAATCTTTCGTTTGCCTGTGCAACTACTGCCTGGTAATTACTGCCTTCTTGACTGATGGGAACCAGCGAAGAAGGCGACGAAAAATGTAATATCGTATTGCCATGAACTCGATAAACGAGCTGCAAATAGCCAAAATAGAGTTAACGCCTATCGCTGGAGTTGTAGCTTCGAGGTTGTCAGTGCCTACAACGGTGCGACATTCCATGAAGGGGAAATATCTCGCCGGTTGAAAAAAATGAAATGGAATTGAAGGCGAAAAGGCGCGAATCTGACCCTTGTCGTCGGCCGTCGGCGCTGGCCCCGCTGAGGTCGTAGACGGTCACCCCGGCGTTCATGGCGCAGGCGAAGGACCCGCTGTAGAGGATCGAATAGTCCAGCGCGGCGATCTCCTCGAGCTGATAGGCGAAGACCGAGTCGGACTGCAAGGACCCGACGCTCCGGACGAAGATTGGGTCCACTGAAACGGCGGCACGGTCTCGCAGATTCCGCGAAATTTTCGGACGGATTCGGGATGGGAAATTTCTCACGTGCCAAGGTGATGCTGGAGAAGGCGATTCGCCCGTCGTCGACGAAGAGCTGCCAGGGCTCCATCGCCATGCTGATCACCTTTACGGGCGATCGGGGTCCTCGCTGTTATTTTCTATAAATATATTTAAATCATTTGAATGGGAGTTTAAATACCGCTTGGTCGAATTCGAGTTCCGCGAGCTCGTCTTCGATTCCGCAGGCTCTGAAGTCCATGACCAGCTGGACGTGATGGCCGGCGGTCAGCGCGTCGACCACGTCGTCGAACGTCTCCAAGACAGCATTTTCTGCCGACGAAATGCCAAATATTGAAATCGGCGTGCAAATCGACACGGGCAAAAACGGGTAAAACAGACCTTGGGCGTTCGAGCGAAGGCAGAAGAGGAGGAGGAGGAAGGAGTGGAAGCCGGAGGGATTCATCCTGGTTTCTGCATGCTTTTTTTCTCTCCGCTTCTCGCTTTTATCTGGTGTTTTTCGATTGGGAAAATCGAGCGCGGCTGCGGTGAGTCCCGTGAGAATCTTCGCACCCGATTCTCTCTACGTCTTCACGTAATACGCCGACGCCCTCGGTTCCCATTCGCCGACGCCCTCTGTTCCCGTTCGCCGTCGGGCGAGTTCCGCCTGGAGATTGGAGGTCGCGGCGGGAAGCCGGCGGCTGCTGGCTTTCGGACCGGCGATCGTCGCGCTTGGAATCGATTCGCTGGCGTTGAGAATTTCTTGGAAAACGGTCGAGGCATCGTGTCGAAATCCCTGTTGTCGATTTCGTGGGAAATCTCTCCAACTTCCACGGAAAGCACGGCAGCTGTCCGCTTTCAATCCGAAACGATGCCAGGTGAGAAACAAAAAAAAACAAGGAGCACCAAGGTAATTCAAAAGTAATTATGATTACGATCCCAAGTTTTTCACTCAAATTTACTGATGGACTTCCCTCAAAATACTAATTATACCTAGGTCTTAGTTACGTGGGGGGTGAGGTTCAGCTCCCACAACATTCTGTGATGGCTCGTCCGGTCCATCTGGAAAGATGTTCGGGTCTGACAAGAAAATCTTTGAAAGGTGAGCCCATTCTTGTAGAATGTTTCTTCAGGGCTACGGTCAATGAGAGTCCTTGACTCTGTATGAGTACAGGGCCGGTCTGATCGATTTCTGAAACGAGATCTTCAGAGGATTCCTGAAAGTATGCATGTTGCGGGGTTTTGTGAAATTCGAAGCGATTCGGAATCTCTTCACTCGAATTCGGAATTTTGAGAAACCCGAGAGTGAATCAAAATTCACAAGGGAGATCCCAAATCCTCATCGACTCCCGAAAACTCCAAAAAAAAAAGAGGATTTGGTCGAAATCTTCGTCCCACCCGTTAAGGTTTACATCACGGGAGCATTTCAACATCAGTTCGATCAGATTGACATCGCGCGTCGGTCGTCTAACTCGAAAGGGTGTGGCCTTTGCAGTCGGATACGAAATCGGGGAGGAAATTCAGGTCCTTATTCTCCGTCCCAAAAAAGTTGACGATTTTTGATCCTCAATTATCAGTCTGAGCCGGTTGGGGAAAAGAAATGGAAAAAGTGGCTGCATAAGAATTCCTATTCCGAAGTTACTGCGTCCCACGGTCCCACGTATCGTCATTGCGCAAACGAACCATGAATTCAGGAGATAATCCCAATTGACACGTAAGACGAGATAAACGTTTCCACGAGTCACCGTTTGAGTGGGCTCCGTGGCACTTCCCTGCTTGGGCCTTGCGATGCAGGGATCCGCTTCGATCGTCTATCGACATACGCATTCCATGCGACGTAGTCGACAAATTCTTGCGCTAAGGCATCACTGAGGGAGTGGAAGAAGGCACTCGTTTGGACTCGAAGCGAGACTGACACCGGCGAACGAGAAGCAATGAATGTATGGTCAGGGCCCGGTCGAGGGTTTCTTCATTGCCTCAGGGGTAGGAAGAAGAAGGAGGAGAAGGGGGAGGGAAGCGGGCGTTCGCTGGGCTCGGTGGCCGAGTGGTTCCTGCGTCTGCATGGGATATGGGAGGAAGGGCAGGGCCGTTTCTAGGCATATTGGCGCTCAGAGCAAGGAGTTCCGATGGCGCCCCCCCCCCTCCCCCCCACCCACAAAAACCAACAACTGCTACGCGAAGCACCACCGCAGCTCTGGCGATTGGGGCCTTTCCCCCGGAAATGATGGAAATCATTTTGTTACATTTGTAAATATAGTGGATTCCGCTTTATTGGGACACATTGGTTCCAGTTCTATTCGCCCCAATTAAGCGGCTGCCTTAATAAAGCGAACTTACCTCTTAGTATAGTAAGAAACCCGGACACGAATGTCCTTTACTTGTGCAAAAGGAAAAATTACGATTCATTTGCCCATAGTTGCTCGTTTCATACCTGAAAAAGCATTTCTGATGCACCAATGTCAAGAGCACCATGTCCTTTATTATCCAAACCCTGCTCAATAAAGTAGCGGTGAAGGCTGTTCACCGAGCGCCTGGCTTTGTACGTGAGTCCCCTTAGGTAAAGTCCCAGGTTCCTCGTCTACGACATCCCCTCTACGACATCCCCCTCCCCTCCCCCCTTGCCACGAGGCGAGGCCTCATGGCAACGATGTCCTCGATTGTATCGTCCTCAGAGTCATCGTGTTCGGCGAAGCATGATGCGTTTTCGTCGATGTTGACGAAGGCTTCTCCGTTAGTGACATCAAGAATAGTCAGACACTCCTCATAGGTTGACGCTGGCACCTCTGGTCCAGAATGAAAGCCAGATCCACGGAAACAGTCTGCTATGGTCTCTGCTTTAACAGTCGGCCAGTTCTTAACCACAAAACGCACGGCGAAGAGGAGGGAGAGAGAGGGCGGAAAAAAAAAAACATATGGGACCGATGGCTTAAATTCACCCAACCTTGCCCTAATAAAGCGGATTTTCGTCCCGAATATACGGCGAAATTTATTTGCACTTGCATAGAAATGGTTGTGTTCCTGACAAAAATGTCCCGATAAACCGGCTGCCCTATTAACTGATGGCCCAATAAAGTATAAGAAATTATATAGAAAAGTTAATCAAAGCCAAGTCAAGGCATTTACCTCCACGCTAACCATATAAAAAATACTCGTTTTTATTATTGTGTTTCTTAGGAAAATTGTCGAAGGTACCACACCTGCGGTTGCCGAAACATCCCCACAGTCCTAGATGCAAGCGACGTCCGAGTAAATAATTCACTTTGGGTTCACCTTAAGTGGTAAAATTCCCCAGGGCAAGTTAAAAATTCAAAAACTTAAGCCTCCATACTAAAGCGAAAGACAAGATTATAGAAGGGGATTAACCGTTGTACGTTTTATGAAGGGAGTACAAGAACAGTCCACTTTCATAGCATGCACCTCATGAGATCGAGCAGAAGACTGAAACAGAAGAGAAAAATATTGTCTCGGTCTTTCTTCCCTCTCCTTTCCCACTTCCTGTCTCCCATTCGAACTTTTTTTTTCCTTTCTTCTTTCATATAGTCAGTCCCAACATTTCCAGAAATTTATCGTGATAAGAAATTGAAAACCCATGCGGATCACGCGGCCTCTTCCTTTTCCCGCCCGGACTGTATTGTACTCGTCTCAATCCAATGGGGCATTTCCCATCATTTTGCGCAAACATCGCGATGGTCGAAAAAACTATCGATTCTTCCAACCATCGATAGTGGTATCGATGAATCGACTTATCATGACAGTCTTACTTGATACCCATTGCCTAGTCGCAGCGTGGCATCATGCCACATATACTAGGGGAAAGTTGGGAGGGGGTGGAAGGGCTTCTGCCCGATTATGAAACCGTTAACAGACTCACCAGTACGCTGGTAGGAGGCTGCACGGCATAAAATATCATTAATCATTTTTAATTTTTATATCGTCCCGATTAGTGTTAGTTCGCATAAAGTGGACGCTAACCGCATAAAAAATGCCTGTTTTATTATGGTGTTTCTTTCCACGGTCCCCCCCCCCCCCCCCCCCCCTCCCCTCCGCCGGCGTCCCCCTCTGCTGGGGCCCCGGGCGATCGCCCGCCTCGCCCGCCCCTAGAAACGGCCCTGCCTGTCATTACTCTCCGAACGCCATTCAAGCAAAACTTTTCTGTTTATTTGTTTCTTTGGATCTAGGATAATTACCAATACTTCGCGACAAGCGATGGTGGAGAGGCATGGATCATCAACGGCATCCGTCTCTTTCAGGCTCGCGATGGACAAGTCAGGTCAGTTTCGCCTATTACACATTTTTTCAATATGTGAAAGATTCACGAACGAGAGGCCGGGTAAATTTCCGTGAGAGTAAAAATGATTTTCGTTAGACCCCCAGGGAAAATCCTAAGATCCTCAAGGTTCAAGGTTTGGGCAAAGGTGGGAAACGGCATTCGTACCTTGAGATCCCGAGGCGAGGTGAAGCGTTCCTCCTCCCCATCTACGATATGGCTATCCTAAAAAGAAAAGCGATTTTGCTGGAAGGGGGGTCAATTCTAAAGGATAATACAAAAATTCCACCTTTTTTAACTGCTTGCTATTTCCAAGTAAGCGAAAATGTACCTTTCATACTCTCAGAATAGTCTGGATGATAGAATAAAGTTCGCTGGTCCCTAAAGTATTATAATATGCGGAGTCGACTGCATCAGTCATAATTCTACGGATAACCTCACTCAAAATGGGCCAACTTTGACAGTGTATAACTTCAACGTTGAACGTGCTTTGAAGAAAATGGATACTATTTCCTTAATGATTTTACGCTGTCCCTAATAACCCTCTGTAATAACTGCACGAGTCAATATCAGATTTGGCCCCTCGCAAAATGTCGCATCTTTGGCATGTAAATGCGGTTAGCAGAAAAAGTGTGTTAAAAAAAAGTTGTACTAGATCCTTTATTTAAAATTTTAAAAGTCGGCATCGCAAAAGAGAGGAAGAAACGATCCCTCGGTTCAAAATAGACCTTCGTGGGACACATGTACAGGTACGAGTTTTCTTAATGTGTACATCCCAATGCTCCCTTCCGCTCAGTTGCGTTCATATCGAAGTTCTCGAAATGTGATTGAATTGGATATTGGGTGAGATAGGGTGATGCGGGACAACGGGAAACGGCTGCTGCGGACAAGCCCCAGTCTGGGAACTGCATCCATCACGACTCCTTGCATTCACACGACGGCTTCACTTGGACACAATCCTCACATCTTCGTCCGGCGTGGGGAACGGCGGCTCCATTACGACCAGCATAGCTTCGTCGTCCGCAACGCCGGGCATTCCGCAGGATTCGACGAAAACGGCCGTCTCAAGGTTTATTGACGTAGTCTCTTTTCCCCTACCAGACGGTTCCTGTTTGAAATTTCTCGTAGTCGTCTGTTTTTGGTATGTGGGTCATTTGTTGCACGTCACTTCTCATAGCATCGTGCGCATTTTGAAGCACGACAAACT